TACATATGTACATATCTTTTTTAATTGTAACAAGTACATTAAAATCCACTTTTTTGCTGATATACAATAAATCACTTCATAGACAAGCTGAAAATTTGTTGGGGAGGAAACTGATGATAATGTAATATCCGGTTTTTGAAACAACACTATGTACTTACAAGATGCTGTTATATGAAACAAGGTTAATGTTGGTCTTTAATCACTAATGGCGAAATTTAAATTGATTTTTTAAATAAATAATTATACACTTAAGTGTAAGAAAAAGTGAAATTAAAAATAAAAAATTTTTAGAAAAAATAAATTTTAAAATTAATTTAAATGGACCCCTGTTATAGGGACCGAAGTTATAGGGATTTGCATGCGATTTTTTAAATATAAATAATTAAATCACATCCCGACAAAGTTATTAGGTTTTAAACAAATTACAAATATTAAATTCTATTAAAATTAATAAAATAAAAATTCATGCTTTTTTCAAAATTTATAGTGGAATAAAAGAGTTATAAAAAATTTAAATTAAATAAACAATTATTTTCTTAACAGGGAGTTAACACTGCAAATAAAGAAAAATAAAAATTAATAATCTTGATTATCTTTTAAGACCATTTCACTACTCACATGGTTCACCACTCTTATAACGAATACAATTCAATTGTTCCACCAAACACTTGTTGTCATAGGGTTCACATGCTCCCGAGCCAGCTCGAGCATTAACTTTAGGTCCACCTCCAGCACATAGCACAGCAACATTGCCATAACAATTCGGTGGTGCCTGACCAAAGCAACGAATTGCAAATAAAGCGATGAGAGCAAAAATTGTTATTAAACCGTTAAATTTCATTTTACAACTGCTAGAGACTATGTTCTAATAAGGGGTTTTTTATAAGAAATTTCCCCCAGAATTTTTTTGTATTCAATAATTTGATTTGTTTTAATTATTACTTAGTGTAATCATCACGTTTTGTAAAGTAGTTATTGTTTCGCATTGAAGTGTTAAGATGTAATTAATAGATATTTGTTCGTTTAGTTTATTTATTTGAACTTTTAGGGGAAAAAATCACACAATGATCCGTGATCACTATTATTATTCAGCAAGTTAAGTAAAAATATTTCTAATTATTGAACTGAAAATAAAATAATTAATAAAAGTTGTAAAATTCATTGAAATCGTTATAAGGAAAATGTTTGTTAATTAACACTTAGATGTAAAAGTATACGTACAGCTGTTAGTCTAGAGTCTCGACTATAGCTTAGTCCATAGTCTGACCTATAGACCAGTATATAGTATGAATAGTCTATAGTATGGATAGACTATAGTATAGTATGGACTATAGCCCTGTCTATAGTATGGACTATAGCCAGGTCTATAGTATGGAATATACCCTTTCTACAATATGGACTATAGCCCTGTCTATAGGCTGGACTATAGTCTAGTCTGCACTATAGCCTAGTCTATAGTCTGCACTATAGCCTAGTCTATAGTCTGGATAGCCTAGTCTATAGTCTGGATAGCCTAGTCTATAGTTTGGGCTATAGCCTAGTATATAGTCTGGACTATAGCCTAGTCTATAGTCTGGACTATAGCCTAGTCTATAGTCTGGACTATAGCCTAGTCTATAGTCTGGACTATAGCCAGGTCTATAGTCTGGACTATAGCCAGGTCTATAGTCTGGACTATAGCCAGGTCTATAGTCTGGACTATAGCCAGGTCTATAGTCTGGCCTATAGCCAGGTCTATAGTCTGGACTATAGCCAGATCTATAGTATGGACTATAGCCAGGTCTATAGTCTGGACTATAGCCAGGTCTATAGTCTGGAATATAGCCAGGTCTATAGTCTGGACTATAGCCAGGTCTATAGTCTGGACTATAGCCAGGTCTATAGTCTGAACTATAGCCAGGTCTATAGTCTGGACTATAGCCAGTCTGGAATATTACCAGGCCTATAGTCAGGAATATAGCCAGGTCTATAGTCTGGACTATAGCCAGGCCTATAGTCTGGACTATAGCCAGGTCTATAGTCTGGACTATAGCCAGGTCTATGGTCTGGACTACAGCCAGGTCTATAGTCTGGACTATAGCCAGGTCTATATTTTGGACTATAGCCTAGTCTATAGTGTGGACTATATCCTAGTCTATAGTCTGGACTATAGCCAGGTCTATAGTCTGGACTATAGCCACATCTATAGTCTGGACTATAGCCACATCTATAGTCTGGACTATAGCCAGGTCTATACTCTGGACTATAGCCAGGTCTATAGTCTGGACTATAGCCAGGTCTATAGTCTGGACTATAGCCAGGTCTATAGTCTGGACTATAGCCAGGTCTATAGTCTGGACTATAGCCAGATCTATAGTCTGGACTATAGCCAGGTCTATAGTCTGGACTATAGCCAGGTCTATAGTCTGGACTATAGCCAGGTCTATAGTCTGGACTATAGCCAGGTCTATAGTCTGAACTATAGCCAGGTCTATAGTCTGAACTATAGCCAGGTCTATAGTCTGGACTATAGCCAGGTCTGGAATATAACCAGGCCTATAGTCAGGAACATAGCCAGGTCTATAGTCTGAACTATAGCCAGGTCTATAGTCTGGACTATAGCCAGGTCTGGAATATAACCAGGCCTATAGTCAGGAATATAGCCAGGTCTATAGTCTAGACTATAGCCAGGTCTATATTCTGGACTATAGCCAGGTCTATAGTCTGGGCTATAGCCAGGTTTATAATCTGGACTATAGCCAAGTCTATAATCTGGACTATAGCCAATTCTATAGTCTAGACTATAGGCTAGTCTATAGTCTGGACCATAGCCTAGTCTATAGTCTGGACCATAGCCTAGTCTATAGTCTGGACTATAGCCTAGTCTATAGTCTTGACTATAGCCAAGTCTATAGACATAAAATTAAAAAAGAAACACAAATTTTTAATACAATGCATTGTTTTAAATTTATTTACATTTTGAATTTCTTTCAAAAGGTTATTGAAAAATCATTATCGTTTCACATATTTCAATTAACATGGTATTAATACTGTAAAGAAAGATCACATAAAATAAATATTGATAATTTATTAAAATTTTTTATACTAATCAAACTACTTACGCGGTTGTCTATTGCGATAACGTATACAATTCAGTTGCTGTACTAGGCATTTATTTTCATACCTCTGACATAGGCCATATCTACCAGATCTAGCTCGTACACTAGGTCCACCGCCGGCGCATAAACTGGCCACATTACTATTACAATTCGGTGGTGCCTGACCATAGCAACAAATGGCAAATATTGTTATGAGAAAGAAAATTGGTATAGAAACGTTAAATTTCATTTTGCGAATGTTGTTGGAACGCTTGCAAATTAAAGCCTTTTATACCAAATTATTTCCCAGATTTGCTTTTTACAAATCGTTTAATTTAACTATGTTAACGTAGAATTAATTTCTGTTTATCATCATGTATTGTATTTTAAAGAAATTTATTATTTAGAATCTTATAAAAGAAAAATCCCTTAAATGATCATTAATCATTAGCATTTGAAGTTTTCATAATTATTACTTCTATTTAAAGTAGAATTATTAATTAATTTTAATTGAAACTATGTGGTTGTCAAAATATGATCTGTCAATGAGAGAAACATATGGCTAGACTGGCAAAATCCAAACAAAAAATATTATTTGAAATTTTCTATAAATACGAATTTAATCTGATTTTTGCAACACGCAAAAATACCTAACTTCCACTTTTATAGATTTTCATTCAATCAGGAAGGCGGCGTGTTAAATTCTATGTTTCTAGGTTTAATATTAACAAAGATTCAAAAAGTACCAGTTGAAGAACATAAAAGTACCAAAAACATCAGTCTTATAAATTTTCATTCATATTTCTAGGTTCAATAATACATAAAATCAAAAAAGTACCAATTGAATAACGAAAAAGTACCATAAACTCCCCTTTTATCGAGTTTCATTCAATCAATATGCTGCGTGTTTAATTTTGCGTTTCTAGGGTCAATATTACAAAATATTCAAAAAGTATCAGCTGAAGAACAAAAAGTACCACAAAAAATTCACTCTTATAGGTTTTCATTCCATCAGAAATAAAAGCTAAAAGTACTAGTTACAGTAAGAAAAAGTACCAAAAGTCCTTTTTCCTTACAGCTTTTCATTCAGTAATAACTCTGAATGTTTAATTTTATGTTACTAAGTTCAATGTTACAGAAAATTTCAAAAGTACCTTTCAAAAAACGAAAAAGTACCAAAATGTCCTAATTTATATGTTCTCATTTACTCCAGGATCTACGAGCTTAATTTCATGTTTCTAGGTTCAATATTAATCAAAACTCAAAGAGTTTCAGTTAAACAACGAAAAAGTACCAAAAAATAGTCCTTGGCACAAATAACACCCCATTATCATATTTAAATGATTGAATTTTAAAACAACTTTTTTAATTTTTTTCGCATCACTGCCCACACAATTTTCCATCTCTGATTTTAGCAATAATAACATACAGCTTCATACTTAACGTACTGTTCTTGCTCTGTTTTGTTTTTATAAACAAGCTGACTAAGAACAAGAACCACATTTATCATATGAAACTGTATGTTGTTGTTGTGTTTTCCTTTTGTCAAAGCATGCACAAAAATGCTTATTATTTATGAAATTTTCAGAGGTTGTCTCCGATTATTTCTCATATCTTCATTATTTATGGATCAATTTGGCTTATTTCAAATAGCGATCTTCTCGAAAGCCTGTCTGGCAGAATAATTGAAGATTTCGATCCCGAACATATACAGGATTCAGAATATATACTTTATGAAGTCGAAATACTATATTCACGTAGGTGAAGGGTATATTAGCGGAAATTAAATATTTAAAACACGCATATTTCAAAATAACATTGCCTACCTTAAGGCTGTTATAAACTGTTTTACCAATAAGACTACCTCAACATTTATTTTATTAATCGAAGACACAAACCATTTCATTTAATTGACTGTCAATCAGCGTTGCCAGAAAAATATTGTCTTATGTTCCCTATTTTTTGCAAAACAAACTAGAAATAGAGATTTTAATAAAAAAAAATATTAAAATTTGTTGAAAAAATTATATTTTTCTTGAGATTTTCTATTCCGTTACGTTTTGATTTCACATATTTATGTCGCTTTAGTATTTGATGAGTAAATTTTTTTATATTTTGAATTTTTTCTAAAAAATCTTAAATATTATCAAAATTTTAAATACGGCTTTCAATCACTTTGAACGAATTGTTAAGCAAATAAATAATTATTTGCGATTTCTGCGAAAAAAAAAATAAAAAGTAAAAAATTAGAATTCAAATTTGAACACGATTACGGTAGAAGTACACAACACGCGTTGTACGCGGCAACGAGTTATATATAGGCTTCTGTCAAAAAAAAAAGTTGAAATAGTGTATTTTCACTAAAATGAAAAAAAATTTCATATAAATAGTGTATTTTCACTAAAATGAAATTTTTGATTTTGCGTGAGAGAGAAAGAGAAAGAATATCATTCATCTCTCTCGCGGTACGGAGTTTCTCGTACTCGGAAACTTGTTTTATTTTGTTATTCTTCTCATTCGTACAACAACAAATCAATGCAATTAATACGTAGTTTCTGAAACAAAAATTTCTATGTGTGGACATTAAGGAAACTTCAAAAGAGAATTAAGAAAAAGTTTATCAACAAAAGTTTCCTAATGTGGACCAGGTCAAACTTTTTTAACAATCGTGAAAACAAATCCCCAAAACTAGCTTAAAAAATACATTTGAAATCCCCAATTTGGGGACAAATCCGGTAACACTGCTATCAACTAAACCTCTATCTATGTCCTGACATTTCAAACAGGACCTGCGCCTTTTTAGCACACAAGGAAAAGAAAAACAACTGACAGGATTGTGTGTAGTTTTTTTAAATACACAATAACAGTAAAACAATTTCAGATTGTCGTAGTCCACGTAATATTTTTTTGTAACTCCGTAAAGAAAAGATTTTTTTATTAAAAAAATATATAAATAATAAGCAAAAAAATGTTTTAATTAAACAAAAGCAAAGTTAAATAGTGCACCTTTAAAGATAAATTAAGAAAATTAATAAATAAGTTATAAAAAATATAATAAATTTAAAATAAACATTAAACTAAAATTTTAAAGTGAAAGTTGTATATGACGGTCAGAAAATAAAGAATTTTTGCTATTTTTCTACAATTATTTACTGAGACCTAATAAACATTTTCAAAAGTAAGTCTATTGTCAATATTATTGGGATCTTTTTAAAAAAAAACTTAATTCATTTTTCAATCAAATAATTTGTAATTTGTTTAATAAAACTGCTGCTGTTGTGTCTCTTAACATAAATTATGTATAACATTTTACTATACCCACATATTTTCAAGTAGGGTAGTTTTTTTTCGGAAAAACGACCAAAAAACTTATAATCGTGTATAGGTATTTCGAAAAGAAGAAGTAGGAAGAAAAACAATATAAAAAATATACAACAAATCTTTTTATGTTAATTTTGACATTTTATTATACACGCATATCCGGTGCCATACAAAATCATGTTGTCTAGGATAGAGTAATAAGAACGAACGCCAAAAAAAAATTACACACACTTTATTTTTTGGAAACCTGTCTGTACATATTCACATAAAAAGGTATATATGTATTACATGTCTGTCTCTGTAGACAATGTTGAAGAAAAAGTAAAAGTTTCCATATGTAGCAGCATATTGAAAATTGAAAGTTGTATATTTTGAATATTTAAAGGGCCCTTACTTATGTCATGCAAGCATTTATTTTCCAAACTCATTCCCAAAGTTTGCGTTTAATTTTTGGTGAGGTCATTTGCATGTTTAAACTCATAATAATAAAAACATGGAATGGGGGAAGAAGTTACATTAACTTTTCCAGCTTTTAAGCTATGAGTAAGTACTTCTAAATAGATCATCATATAGTATAATATGTCATCCTAGTAATTTTTAGTTAAGTATTTTAACCCTTAAATACATAGCGTACCATATATGCTACATGACTTTAAATAATTAATTAATTAGTATTAATTAATTTTGATAGTACTCTTCGTACAAAAACCATTATAGCCCTCATAAAACTTTAACAAATTTAGTTATTTAAAAATTTAATTCTTTAAACAGTAAGACATTATATTGTTTATTTCAGAACATAATTTTCAGCACTTTTGAGCTTTCCAGTATTAAAAAAAAATCATTAAAACATTAATTTTTAGTTTTATATTTTATATTTTTAGTTTTTAATATTTTTAGTTTTTTTGGTCTTACCTTCTGATTATAAAAAATAATTTGAATTTTTATAAATTTGTTAATAATGTTCCATATGTGGTACACATAAGAAATCGTGTTTTGTTTTTTGTTTGTGATTTTAGAGAGAAAACGGTACATTTTCGAATGTCCAATTCGATTTTTTCAGCAGTTTTTACTTATTCTTGGTTTACATTCTTGAAGCTGATATCCTTTATTTTATTGTTAAACTAAAGGATAGGCATCAAATGATGATGTCTCAGACAATATCAAATATCCCAAATATTACTGGTAAAATCAAAAAAGATGAGCGGCATTCTAAGACGATCTAGCTACCTATGTCCTTCCGTCCGTCCGTCCGTCCGTCCGTCCGTCTGTTGTTGCCACTATAGTGCCCACCAGAATGAGATAGAAATTTTCCCAAAATGTCTACTCTTGGTCAGAAAATTTTGGTATTGAAAATGGGTAAAATCAATCCACGATTCCAGATAGCCCCCATATAAATATGTCCCCGGAATACTTTGTTAACAGGCTCCAACAGACATAAATTCATTGATTATGTAGCTTCTGAAATGAAATTTTCCATAAGTTAGTTTTTTGTACCCAGAAATTATATTATAAAGAATGGCGGACTTCAGACCATAATTGACACTAATAGTGTCCCCTACAAAAATGATTTTAATGCTCATTTCTGGCTTAAAAATAACTGTACAGCAATGAAATTCGACATAAACAGATTTTATTTAAACCGAAATCTCTCTACACAAGTATATGACGATGGGTCCATAATTGACTCCCCCGTATAAGGTCACCTTCAGAAAGTGACTTAATTCTCTTTACTGACTGTATTATGGAAACCGAAATCTCTCTGCCAATGATGATCCCAGATAAAATGAATAAACCCATATAAAAATAATTGATTTATAAAATTCTAAGTCCATAGATAGTAAATTTTGTGTCTAACACATCTCTCGGTAGAAAAATTATTTAGAATAGATTTTTCTACAGAAAATTTCGTTTATAACAAATTTTTATATAGAAAAATTCGTATAAAACAAAATTTTCTACATATAACATTTTACGTAAAGAAGATTTTTATAGATAATTTTATGTATAACAGTTTTTTCTGTAGAAAATTTTGTGTATAACAGATTTTTCTATAAAAAATTGTATATAAAAGAACATTAATATTCTTCTATCTGGATATCTGGCTTAACTTTTCAAATACCTTAACTTGTATAATAGTTATTTAAAAAATAGGAAAATGATACTAAACATTGTCGAAATTACTTTTTTCTATATTATGACAGTCTTGTCTGTATTAAACGAGCGATATTTGTTTCAGTTTTGTCTAAAAATATAGGAAAAAAGTACTAAAAATGATTTTACCCACAGCGGAATATTGCTTTTTTATATGAAGTTGTATTAAGTCCGATTTTATATACATATGACAATTTAAAAAGTTTTATCACTCGGATCACGTTTGTATTTAATATATCATTGAAAAATTTACAAACGCAGCTAAAAACTTTGTCGGCTCACAGCCAATTTTAAACCGCCGCAGTTAATTTTAGTGTCAGCCACCACCGTCGTTAATGTTTGTCGGCGTAGGGCTCTCTGCAGGCCAACAACAAGAACTCTGTCACTTCTCTTCTGTGTGAGAAGATAGAAGAATAAAAATAAGTTTTGTAAAACAATATAAAGAAATTTTATTAGATAAAAGTGCAAAACAATAATAAAAACATTAATAGTTGATTATAAACAGTGTCAAATAAAAATATCAATATATTTAAGTGTTTTAAAAGAAAGTAAGGTGTAAAGAATATTGATGAAACATGTAGAAAAGTGCCCAAACAACAAAAGAAATTCAACTAACCGATTGGAAAATAAAACAAAAATATGGAATTAATTTACAAGAAAATACTGTAAGATTAAATAAAAATATATATAAAATATTCTTATAAGTTTGCCTATTAACTTTTTTCATTGTACTGCTTGTAAAATTCGGAAATTCTTGTGCAAATTCTTTGTCTACCCATTATTTTGGGATTTCTTTTGTTTTATGTATTTCTGTGTTGGAAGATAGCCTATTAAAAATCTTTTCCGATGCTTTTATATTATACTACATACACTACGCCACTTTATTGCAGTGGCTACTATGCAAGTTTGTGTTAATACTATGTACCTATAATGCCAAATATTTCGGGAGTTTTGAATTAGTTACTAGTGCGTTTTAAGGATGATCTTCCTAGTAATAAAAAACTGGTTGTAAACCTCCATCGGGTGTGTTCTGCGTTCTTTTAGAAGTGTAAGTCGAATCCACAACCTCCTTTCTGGCAGACTAGAACACATAACTACTAACCAACCGGTGGCACAAGTTTAGTATTTGATCACATTTTGTGGCAAGGAAGTACTCTGTGGGAACTAGTTCAAATTGGCCTTTCGTTTTACATAAGTAACCACCACACAATTTAGATCGTTGCAAATTACTATATAATTGTGTACGGTATTATTAAGTCGGTTCCTACCATTTTATATGTGTTTTTATTTTTTTGTATCCAAGCGATACAATTCGTTCAATATGGCCCTGTCTGTTCAATAAAGTGCAAAAAAAAAACAAGAACAATAATAACAAAATAATCAACTCCCCCATAAATCAAAACAAATCTGTACTTGTATTCAATATAAAATAGAGTTAAATTTTATAGCACGGTTAGAAAATAAAAGTGAACAAAATATAGAGAAATATATATAGGTAGTTAGGTATTCTAATTCTAAGGACTAAAAATTAGAAACTACTTTACTATAATTTATTAAAATTAACACTTTCTTTACTCCCTATAAGAGAAATTTTTAATTTGCAATTAACTTAATAAATATTTATTTTTTAGATAATTTCTTAAAAAATATACATAAAAAATATGCCGTCAATATTTAAAAAATTGAAATTTTCATTTTTAATAAAGTAAAAAAATTATAAATAACGCAGGCCAACGATGAAAAAGCTTTTTAAATAATTTTTACTATTCCCAATATTGTTTGGTGTGCTGATTCCAAAAATGTCGTATCAGCCACCAATTTTCCATGTTTGTGCTCGTAACTGTATAATTGAGTGCCAGATATTCAATTCTGCTTCCAGACTTATACTTTGTGTTATTAAAATGCATTCTAGGAAAAATTATTTTTGCAAAAATTTGACCATATATTTTAACATATTCGAATAAAACGATGTCATTATGTTCAATATATTCGTATTTTATTGAATATGATCTTAATTATATAACGTAAACTTTATTTTAGGGTATAGTTATAAATTGGAAATCTTTCAGACGGTAGTTTAAAAACTCCAATTTCTAACTATTAAAAATTTTATTAAAATAATTTTAAAAGTTTTAGAAAATCTTTAAATGATTTATGAACAATAAAATACATCAATATCTCTCACAGATTAGTGGTACCTGTGAATTAAATTTTGAGCATTTCGAAGAAAACTATATTTTTGGTAATATTTTTGTAAATTAGGCATAATTCTTCACTGTTAAACTTTTTATATAAAACCCCTCTTTATTATTATAGACCAGAAAGTAGGAAATTTATATAGAAAGTTTTAGTAAGATCAAATAATATTAACCCATAAACTGAAAAGATCAAAATCAATATTGGGAATATTAGGAAAATTTACTTTAATAGTACCGAAATAATATTTAGTTTTCAATCGACTGAAATGAAACTTGAGATATGTAGTATGTATATTATAAAGACCCATATTTATAGTGAAAAAAAAATGAAATTAACCCTTAAACGTAAATAAATTTCAAAAATTTTTTAAAACTTCCGTTATACATATATGAACAAAATATTCAATGCCGTTTTGAGAGAAAGTTGTGGGTGATGAAGAAAAACAGATATCAGATTAGGAATACTTATGGATATAGAAATCTATTTAGCTATGTCCGTCTGTCTGTATGTTTGATGAAAACAAAAAGACCCAGATATCTTCAGGATCCAAATGTTCAATAATTCTATCAGATATGCTTTCGAGAAATTTTCTTTTAAAAATCGGTAAAATCTATTTAAAAATAACAGAGATATGAGCGAGACTTCGGAAAAGAACGTAAGTTTCTCGAATTTTATATATATTTTGGATACTATGTTCGATATTTAAATGTGTATATAAGAAATACGTATATATCCAAAGGAAGTTATTTGAAAGACCTTTCAGTTGGTATGACTTCTTTTTATACAATTAGAAATAAAGAATTACTTGATCGAGATATGTATGGCCGAAAAGATGGAACAAAAAATATGGGCTTTTGAATGTGGAGTTTTTCTTGTAAAAGTTAAAAAAGGAAATTTTAAAGAAAAAAATTTTTTTGTAAAACATTTATATAATTAAAAAAATTAAACGTATAATTAAAATACATAAAAGAAAGATTTTTAAAAAATATTATAAAAATAAAAAAAAAGCCAATCCATTTTCATAATTATGTCTTTAATTGCCCACAACTGTAGTCGGCTTATTGTCGTTTATTTTTATCCATTATTTTATTAGACAAGAAAAGATGTTTTCTGTTTTATTTATTTTTTTTATTTTAAATGTGTTCTGTTTATTTACATTTCTATATTGCCTTGATTTGTGATTTTGTTGCATTCTACATTGATCGCATTCCCGCCAGCCAGCCACCACAATATTTCCCCCAACCTGTGGTTTTGTCATATATTTGCTTTCAATATTCAACCCATTTTTCCTCAACTGTGTTTATACATTTATTTTATTTAATATTTCTTTCTGTGTTTGGCTTATTTATGAATTCTTACTAATTATTATCATTTTTTTTGTAGTAGTTGTTGTTCATATCTTTCTTAAAGCAACAAAAACAATTTACAAACAAAAATATTAATAATAGTGAAATTTTTGTTTTGTTGTGATGAAAATGATGTAGCTGATGATTCAGTTGTACAATTTTTTGGTTGAAAAACATCTACAAAAAAAAAATATATTTATATAAACAATTTATGTATAAATGAATGTATATGAACATTAATAAATACATTGTATATGTTTTTTTTTTACTTTATTATTTTTTTGTTGTGATTTATACTTTTCATTTTAATATGTTCTTTTTATACGTATTTATCGTACTTCCAAAGAATGAACTTAATTGCTATGTTTGTTGACAACTACATTGAGCTGTCGTTACTTTGCTGTTGTGTTCTTTTTTTGGGTTATGCTATTGATCCATATGTTTAAGCAGCAATACTACTATATGTTGCTTACTTTACACACTCAGCTCATTATCTGAGATTTCCTTATAATTGTTATTGAAAAATATACTACATCATATCACAAGACCTTGGAAATTCCAGAAAATTTAAATAAAAAATCTTGTATGTAGCACTCTATTTAAAGAATTAAGAATAATTCATGCAGATATTCCCTGTAAATCGAATTTAAAATTTTTATAAGAATAATTGTCCAATTCTCACTATCGATGTCGTATCGTTATATGTATATGATTTTAGACTATGAACAAGAATGAACTTCTCAATAAAACAAGTTAGAATTTATAGTCGTGCATGGTCGACCATATGATACCCAGTGATTATGTTAAAAATGTTGATTATGTTTTTAATAATATTTAATTTAATTTTTTTAAGGATACAAATGTGGCTTTTAACCCCAAAAAATAAATCGAAAATTTATGATCAAATATCTGTGGTACTTCTAGCATTTTAAATAAAAATTTTGCTGTACATTTAACAATATCGCAGGACCATATGAATCAACTCAAAGGGAAAATCTATTTCTGATGCTTTACTTTTATTTTAAACAAACAAAAAAAGACATTGATATAAATATTCTGGTAATAATCTTTCTGTAACATTTAACATCTTCATATTTGTAGAATTAAATGTAAACTTAATATTTCTTCAAGTTTTTGTTGTTCTAACACCTTGATCCTTAGGGTTTCTGCGCCAAGAGTTACTTCTACTGGATTAGTCCATAAATTCATTGGAAAATAGGGTGGACTGTACAATTATAAAATTTTTCCTGGTTCTAGTAGCACCAGATATCTTATATTCTTTGACCGCGAATCAAATTAATTCTTCAGTTTATGTTCCCGGCAAAATAGAGGTATTGGTAGCAACTTTCTTGCTGGAGATGTGCCTGGAACAATTTGTACGCGGTAGCATATTGTGTGTCTGGGTTTCCGATTTTAGCTTTTTAGCTCATAACTACGTCAAATATGCTATTATCTCTTTAAAACTTGGTATAAACGCTTTTTTATAAAACCCAACTTAATGCACCTTTTCAAAGGTAATCAAAGCTGAAGTTACTGCTTCATGGCCAAAGTAGAACATGATAAAAATTAAAAATTGCAAAAAAAAAGTCCGAGTTTTTTACTTAAAGGTCAGTAACTCAAATATTTTATATTTCTTTTTGATTAAGAGGCAACACTTACTTGTATATTGAAAATATCAGATATGAAAATCGTTTGAATACCCCAAAACTTGGATTGAACACTTCAAAAATTGGTGCTTTTCACATCTTTTTTCACTTAAAAAGTAAGTTAACGAAGTGATAGGGGAAAACTAAAAGTATATTCGCAATCTTTGGACCATTACGAAATAGAATTAGTATATGAGAACCCCTGTATTTTATTATACACCACTTTAGTGGGGAGGGTATGTTGGGTTTGTGCTGATGCTTGTTACGCACAATAATATTGGTCCTATACACAGCTTAAAGTATACCAATTGACTTAGAATCATTTTCAGAGTCGATTTAGCTATGTCCGTCTGTTTGTCCGTCCGTCCGTCCATGTAAATCTTGCAATCTAACTACATGCAAGTCGCAACTTTGAATATAATTCAATAAAATTTGGTATATTGTCCCAGGGACGAAGCCTATTGAAAATGGTTAAGATCGGTCTATTATTTCACCTAGACCCCATACAACTGAACCTCCGAATAGGGCTTGTAAACCTTGTAATCAAACTAAATGTTGCATTTTGAAGTTACTTGAATGAAATTTGGCACATGATCTTCTATTGTACCGGAGATGAAGGCAATTGAAAATAGTTAACATCGGTCCATTATTTCACCTAGCCCCCATACAACTGAACCCACCGAATAGGGCTTTTAAGTTCATAATTATGTTTAATATACTGGTATCTCGACAGAAAGCTGCAAAACCAAGTGCTATACTAGCCCTGATGACCCTTATGAAATTTAAAATTATAGGACCTCATTTGACCCTAGCCCCTAGAAAAGGCCCCATTCAAAATTTGACTTAAATGTCCACAGTTTTATTCAGCAATAAATGGCTTAAGTATATCTGAGGCACATTTCAACTTAAATGCTTTGTTATGAAAACTAAATCACATTTTATTTTTGTAATTGGTATGGGGTATTACAAGGTCGGCCTCGCCCGACTATAATTTCCTACTTGTTTTTCTTCACTTTTGTATCACAGTGTAATCTACGTTTGCTCCAAGGAGCCGACATGTAAAACATTTTGCGAGCACAGCTTTAGCATTTGTAGTCAATGGTTACTAACCAATATTTGAGATCCTACATTATCACTTCTTCAGAAGGTTTTTTGAAATAAGTAGGAGTAAACATTCATTAATTACCTCTAAAATTGACTGACCTGGACGGTTTGAATATTCGATTAAAGTTTTATAGATGTCAGAGAATAAGTAGAAAAGTTATAAGAAAAATTAAATAATACTTTTTTCAGCCTATTTCCTATAATTTAATTACTCTTAAGAAATTAAAAACAGACTAAAACTTATTAAGCATTCAATAACTATAAATAAGTTAATTGTTTATTCAATCAAAAAATGTTTAAAGCAAAAAAGAATGAAACCATATTATGAATAACTAAACCAAAAGAAAAACTATATCATTCCAGCTGTCTTGGAAATGCGTCACAAATGACCAGTATAAACTGAAATAAGAACAAAAAAAAAACGTCATTAACAGACAATCAATTTTCAATATACTATACTATTTTACTTATTTATAATGCAACTTATTTGATTTGTTTGTTTCTTTCCCTCATTGACAGTGACGCCATATTTTAATGGTATGCATATGAATATTGTGGTAAAGACAACAAATTACAAAGTCCAGTAGGATAACTTCATATATAAAACTAACAATTTCTCTTGAGAATTTCCTCTTACCACATAATACAACAAAATATTATAAGATTGAAAAAATCGAAAAGAAGGAGCACACTTGCTAGAGGAAATAGGAGTAAAGTGATACCCTTTGCAATTACGTGTTAAGCTTAGTGTTGTATGCAGTTAAAAACCATTCATAATATGTATGTAAAATATGCATTAAGTACTAAGTATAACTAATATTGTTCATGTACATCATGGATGAAGTAAGTGCGCAAATCAATGCCGCCATTTATGTACTACTATAGCATACAACGACAAAAAATACAAAATACTTATTACAATTGAGTTTACGAGACAATATTATTATATTAATGTTCTTATATTGTCGTTGGGTATGTGTGTTTATTTGTGCTCCTCCGTTGGTGTTATTGTCAATTGCATACCAAATCGAGTGACAATAGTTACCAGTCATGGCAGAAGTATTTAACATTTATGACGACAATCTTTCATATTCTGACGCATTTGTTTTCTTTTTTTTTACAAAAGAAAAAACAAAGTAAACAGCCGGTCTACTCCTTCAGGTGTTAGTATAAAATACAAAAATAGTTCTTCAACATTTAATTTGGATATATGGAGTCAAGTTTTTAATTTAAAGATCAGCGATGAAATTAAAATTAATCTTTGACTTAAACAAATTGTATCGTGAGGATTTTGATGATGGTTAGGGCAAGGTTTTAATGTTCCTGAAAGAATTCGTTCACGTTAGCTGTTGAGAAAACAGTACCAGCCGGTTCTAGTATGCATCTGAAGTTATATTTCACTGTCCAACATCAATGGAGGTGTTGGTTTAGGACTCTATTACAGAAACCGTCTGTTAATACAACTTTTTTGAGGAAAAAGAACATGTATCAGATGTGATTGGGAAAAAGAACATGCATCAGATGTGATTGGAAAAAAGAACATGCATTAGATTCTGATGGTTGGGTTACAAGAAATTGAATGCTAATAGCAACACGTTATGTTGTCTGACCGACAGTAATCTTGTTCAGATGATCCACAGATTCGGATTCGAAATGCATTACCTCGCCATTGTGTGTCGCTGAGGAAGAGGTCAACAGTTGTTTCAAAATTTAGGGTGAAATATCTATATTTTAAAGTCGACACATTGGACTTTCAGATAATGCAAACAAATTTAAAAATAAGGGTCACTTAGGGTCGTTTTCAAACATAACAAAATTGATTGAGAAATCTGGATTCCAAATTCGGATGCGGCAGATCTTAATCCATTAGAAATGAATGGTTTCTGCGAAAAGTTTAAACTAGATCTTAACAGCATTGAGGATTAACATTCAATTATAATTATTTTAAGATTAACTAATCTGATCATTAAACTTCAATTTAAAAACTTGATCTAAGTGAAATGCTTGAATCTATTGATATTTGACAATTTTATTGATCCATCTTTTATTATGGACTTTTCAACTAACTAGTGCTTTTCTTTTATAACAAATTTTTGTTCCGCTTTTTTTTTTATTGTCAAGCAAGTCTTGTTTACTTCTTTCTTTTACAAATTTTTTATATGATTAAGTAATATGATCACGTTTCTTGCATTAAAAAATTCTATAATATTGTCTGTTTGACATACAAACCACAACAATACTTTTTTTCTTACAATATTGCCCTTAAATTAATTGCATTTTGTGCTTAATGAAGCACAAGTGTTTGTTTATTGTGATTTTTTCTTTATTTCTATATTGAATACGACTAAAATTTCAAAATGGTAATAAAAAAACATTTTCCGGTCGTTACCCATATGGTTTGGAAATTAATCAAAAAAAAAAAAAAAATGAATCAAAGATTGTAATCGTAAATTTTAGTTTATCGAAACTGAATTCTTTTAATATTTTGGAATAATTTTACTTTATTCGAGAACTAGTCCATAGTTTAGTACGAAGATAGTCAGTTAAGTAGTCAATCGACTAAATCATAAAATAATCGGTCCATAACAGTCAGTCGACTAGTCCATTGAATACTTAATCTACTAGTTCATATAATAGTCAATCAACTAGTACTCTATGGGCTAGAGTTGTAATGAAACTAAACAAAAGACTTGTCAACAGCCTAGTCCATAGATTAGTCAATATAATATTCAATCCTCTAATTCATAGGAAGATCAATTGACTAGATCATAAAATAATCGGTCTACTAGTTCATATAATAATCAAATGAGTAGTCCGTAACTAGTTCATAGAATACCTTATATTCTAGTTCATATAATAGTCAATAAACTAGTCCATAGAATAGACAATAGAGTAGTCCATAGCATAGTCAGTCGACTAGTCTATAGAATTTTCAATAGGGTAGTAAGTAGTCTTGTACATAGATTGGTCAATAGACTAGTCATGAAACTAATTAAAAGACTTGTCAACATCCTAGTCCTAGTCAAGAGACAAATGCGTAGACTAGACTTGTCCATAGACAAGTTAATTTAGTATATACTCCATAGATTAGACAGTAAACTAGTCCAAAAATAGAAAAATGCTGGTGAAAACATAAATAAAAGTCTGAGTTTTGGTTTCGATGAATCTTTTGGATGCTTTAAAGATTTGTGCCCATTTTGAAACTTTTACTTTATGAAAAATATAGTTCAAAATACTAAAAATTTTCAATAAACATTTGTGAAAAAATTTATAGCAAAAACAAAAATCCTTGCCACATTCCCTTATTCCAACTTATGTAAATGACTTCATATTTTTCTTTTTACAGATTTTCCTAACAAAATAAAAGGAATCAAAAGTTGAATACAACTGAATCACAAAATTATCTACAAAAACACCAAAGTGTAATTCAAAAAAAACCCAACGTCGTCATCGTCGTCGTCTTCGTCAATATCTTTAGATTATTTTATTTTTTTATATTCTTTTGTTATCGATATCTATATATACAGCGTCGTTTTGGGCAGCAAATTGTCATTACCAAACGTAAAACTGGGAAAAATTATGAACTTGTGTTCATCGGTCGGTGCAACAGCATCATCGACATCGTTAGCATCAGACGATTCACAACAAGAAACAACAACTGCCTGTGGTGGCGGTGGTGGTGGTGGTAGTGCATCAAATTCATCTGCCTGTGCTGGAGGCGGCGGTGGTGGTGGAGGAGGTGCTGTAGCATTGACAACACATTGTTTTGGTAATTTAACAACGCCCAGTTTACATACATCTGCATCATCAAGTTCGCATCATCATTCACATCACAATCAGGGAAATAGTAGTTCAAATAACAACGAAATGCCACCAGAAACCAGACCTAAAGTGGTGACTGTCAAGCACCCAGAATCGAATAAACCAAAACCGACAATGAAAAAAACGAAACCCATACAAGCCGATCAAGATGTTATCAAGGCACTGCAAAGATGTCGAGATGAAGGTCAGTTTAGTAATGTTAAAATACAACTTTCTTAATATTTTAATAATCGTATCATAATATTAAATTTTCAGGCATAAAACGTTTGGATTTGAGTAAATCATCCATAACCGTTATACCGCCCAGTGTTAAAGATTGTGTACATTTAACAGAATTGTATTTGTACAGTAATAAAATCGGTCAATTGCCTCAAGAAATTGGTCATTTGGTGAATTTGAAAACCTTGGCTTTGAATGAAAATTCTCTAACCTCATTACCCGATACCCTGCAAAATTGCAAACAACTTAAGGTGCTGGATTTAAGACACAATAAATTGGCGGAAATTCCAGCCGTCATATACAAACTGCGTTCTCTTACTACCTTATACTTGAGATTCAATCGTATCACATTGGTGGCTAATGATTTAAGAAATTTAACCAACCTCACTATGTTAAGTTTAAGAGAGAATAAAATACGTGAATTGGGCGACTGTATAGGTGCTTTGGTTAATTTGACTACACTGGATGTGTCACACAATCATTTGGAACATTTACCCGAAGATATTGGAAATTGCGTTAATTTAAGTGCTTTGGATTTGCAGCACAATGAATTGCTAGACATACCCGAGACTATAGGAAATCTAAAGAATTTAGTGCGTTTGGGTCTGCGCTACAATCGCTTGAGTTCGGTGCCGAATTCGCTCAAGAATTGCAAATGCATGGATGAGTTTAATGTGGAGGGCAACAGTATTACCCAACTGCCAGACGGTTTATTAGCATCACTAAGTGCTTTGACCACCATCACACTGTCACGCAATGCGTTCAGCAGTTATCCCACTGGTGGTCCAGCACAATTCACTAATGTTTATAGTATTAATTTGGAACACAATCGTATTGATAAAATACCCTACGGCATATTTTCTCGTGCCAAGGGTTTAACTAAACTAAATATGAAGGAAAATGTCTTGACAGCTTTACCGCTGGATGTTGGTACCTGGGTGAATATGGTTGAATTGAATTTGGCCACAAATGCTTTACAAAAATTGCCCGATGATATTATGAATTTACAAAATCTGGAAATTCTAATACTCTCAAACAATATGCTCAAAAAGATACCCAATACTATAGGACAGTTGCGCAAATTGCGTATTTTAGACTTGGAAGAGAATCGTATAGAGGTGCTGCCCAATGAAATTGGCCTATTGCATGAATTGCAAAAGCTAATACTACAAACAAATCAAATATCTATGTTGCCCCGTAGCATAGGACATTTAAATAATTTAACCCATTTATCGGTAAGCGAAAATAATCTACAATTTTTACCCGAAGAAATTGGTTCTTTGGAAAATTTGGAAAATCTTTATATCAATCAAAATCCTTGCTTGGAAAAACTACCCTACGAGTTGGCCTTGTGCACAAACCTTAAATATCTTAACATCGACAAGTGTCCCCTGAGCACCATACCGCCCGAAATACAGGCAGGAGGTCCCTCATTAGTTTTACAGTGGCTAAAAATGCATTCACCGTATAGGCAAATGTGAGTGGATGGTGTTATACGTACTTATTACGTAGGAAATGCATATTATTATCAAAATTCACCAGCTCAACAGCCACAAACACAAGAGCAAAACTAACAGAGAACCAGAAAAAAGTGTGTAATTACATGAGTATGCGTCTATGACATCTAAAATGGAAATTTGATTCATATCTTAAAGATTTATTTATATTTCAAAAAAAGCCAACTAACAACTACTACTACGACTATTTATTTTTAATAAATTGAAACTTATTTAAGAACTTTTGAATGAAACCAATTTATAGAAAAAAAGGTTCTTCGAACAATTTATTTAAAACCAAACGAATGCTTAATCAAAACACAACTAATAACAAAAGTTCTACTTACAATAAGCGTATTAAAAAATAACTTGAAAATCTATATACATATTAATTTATAAAAAAACATATAATGAAGCTTTAATTTGTTAAGTCAAATAACATAGAACAAAAGAAACCCTCTAAGCCTATAGAAAAATATCAGCTTAAGAAAATGTTTAAACTCGATTAAAATATTTTTTACTAAAACGCGTATATAAGTACACATAGAACAACGTTTCAACTAACTATGTTACACGTATAAATGTACTTTCTTCGATTTTTTATTCAGCTTTTGCAAAATCTTCAATATTATCCATTTTTATTTCAACAATCTTCAAAGTCATCGATATAAAGGTAAGTGTGTTTGATTTTATTTTAAAATTTTGTTTTTAATTTGAAACTATATTTTAATTTCTTTATAATTTCAAAATTATTTGGAAATACCACCATTAGTCATTAGTTTATAACACATCAAAATATTGGACTTTCTTGTTAGTATTTTGTTTTACCAAACTATTTTTTAAATCAATTTACTATAACACCCACTTTATACATTACCATGACTAAACGAAGTTGTACTCAGACTCTCTATAGTGTAAATTGTTTTGGCACTGTTCACTGATTGGAAGCTTGCTCAAAGGGAATGTTAGAAAGTTAAGGGCGAAAGACTTAGTGAATTCGTATCTATCCTATCTATACTAACCGCATATAAAACAACTATCTGGACAATAGAAAACATTAATATCTTCGAAGGAAAAAGGAAGGAGGTAAAGAGAAGGATTCAGAGTCAGCTACAGATACAATGTCGCTGCAATCAAAAGTCATTATTGAACCAATGCATTATTGTCAAGGGGCTTTGCATTACCCAGATGATGAATTTAGGGGTAATTTTCTAGCCAACAGATTCGTTAGAATCCAGTTAAGTAATGTGAATAAGTATTTTTTCGATTTAGTGCCTAATTAACTTGTTATGAGGATTTTATTTTTCAAATTTTATAAAAATAATAATATGATATGACGATTTTTTACTTCAATCTATACTCATATTTAAATTAAAATGAAAATCTGGAGGCAAAATTTATAAATACAGTCAGTTGAACCAGATATAATATCGACAGTGCTATTCGACGCAAGTTACGTCAATTCTAAATAGGGAGAGGCTAACAACTATGATAATTACCGAACTATTGCAATATGTTGGAATATCAAACGAGTTCAAGATCAACTCAGGAGCAGTGCAATGCTCCGTCCGGAGATGCCAGTAACATCTATAAATCTTTTCATTCAATTTTAAATTTCGAAGCCCTTTGGAGATTAAAGCAATGGAGCATAATATGAATTAATTGTTCAACTACAACATCCAATGATCCCATTCCCAAGCCGTGCCTCAAGGTGGAGAACTATCGCCACTTTTGTTTAACTTCTACCTCTCTAAGATAACCGCACCCCCACAAGGCGTGGACGTGATTTCATATGCGGATGACTGTACAATAATGGCGACAGGCCACAACATTGATGAATTATGCATTCTGCTGAATGGTTACCTCTACGAAATACATCAGTTCTTCACTGCAATTATCACCAGTAAAGTCCTCAACAACACTTTTTACCACCTAAACGAAGGAAGTAAACCTAACCCTTGGTATCGTGGTCGATGGAGTCCAAATTCCGACCGAAATTCTTGGGGTCACATTTGATAGCCTATTTACTTCCTCAGCCACTGCAATCACGCACAAACAAGTAAACATGGTCTCAAAGCACTAGACGGCAGCACTTGCGATATAGATAAAGAAACCTTGTTAGCTACATATAAAACGATTGGTCGGTCAGTGGTTAATTATGCTCAAAGCTGCCAAAATGCCGCCCTAAGGACTGTATCGGGCTGCCTACAAATTACCTCGGAACATCACCTGCACGAGGAAACGAAGGTCCTCCCAGTCAAGGATCACAATGTCATTTTGGCTAAACAGTTCCTCCTAGTATGTCATCGGAGGAGTCATCCCAACTTTAACATCACACGGTTGGATACTCCCCCGAGGCATGTCATGAAGGATATTCGTATATACGAAGAAAACATACTCAGATATGTGCATGATCCATTAGATCAGTCCTCGTATTCGGCAGCTTTAAACGACATTCATAGTGACGAATGTCGAAGTGCTTTACGTTAACACCTGCCATGTTGACCTATTTCACGGTGGTCTTTTTCAACCACTGGGTGAGCTTTGTGACTCACCACCGCCCCATTGTGTTTTGGCAATTTACGTACATATATGGATGTTCCGGTCCAATATACGCGCTATCTAATCTCTGATCATTGCTGCCCCGTTGCTTAACTTCCGAGATGTAAAACATCACTTTCGTTTACAACCACGCAGATGGGATGGCCTCTGTTGAGTCACAATAATAATTGGTAATTCTGGTATGAACAGAGTTTACTCTGAACATACCTGGACAAGGAAGGAGAATTCAAAGCACACTTCTAATTCATCTGACACACTCATAAGAGAACAACAAACGAAACACTTATTCTAATTATACGGGTGGACGAGGCCCGCATACCTCTACATTCATCCCGTATCATATACAATTAACACCAACTCATTTTCAACGCTTAGTCCCACAGTCACTCCTCTGTAGGGTTTCAGTTGTCTTCGGCAACAGCACCGAACTTATCCCGAAATATAGACTGTACCTTACATCAGTCTTATAAACGCCACTTACTCTCCCCGCCAATTTGGGTTTAAACGACAGCCACTACGGGGATCCCGAAGGAATCTCAACCAACTTACCAGCCAGGCCATAGTCCTGCGGGCAACTGGCCACCCGTAGTACCAGATTATGTCAAATCATACCAAGGACTAGTAAAGAAGTGAAGTTACAACACCAGTTTATAGTCCCGGCAGACTAGAGGTACTGTTAGCACTGTTACCCCTGGATTGCAATACACCAAGATGGGATTTATCACCAAGGAAAAATGCCCGGGGGAAGGGGGTGGCAATCATAGAGTCGCCGCGGTCGCAGGATACCGTAGAATTTCATACTTGGAGGTCGCCCACCGAACATAGCAGACACGGAAGAAAACCAGCCGCGGAAAACAGTTATGGCACAACTATGATCGTGATGGAGCAACATGCTTAACGCCTACTTGTCACATATAGACCCCCAACGAATGTCCTGCATGTGGTCAGAGTCCTCACATACCCACCACATATTCAACTGCTCAGCAAACCCTAAATCACTCTGTCCAATGGAGTAGCCAAATTTTTAGGCCTGGACATTGACGTAGAACCCCCAACTAGATTATTGTATAGTTTTAGCTGTTACAACAACAAAGTGCTAATAGAGACAATTTCAATAGTTTATTGTTATATCTATTGTATCTATAGGAGGTGTAAATATTAAGGAGCCAGAAACTCTAATATACCGGACTATTGCAGGATATGCTAAGATGCAAAGAAACTAGAAACGATTGAGCACATAATTTGCACTTTTCTAGAATACAGATTCTTAGGTTGAAATGGCTGGGAAATAGGTTTCATGACGAAATTGGGAGAAATTGCGGGACTCAGTCTACGCAGTTTCTATTCTAGTAATTTCTTTGACTCAGATTCTCTCATAATTCTTTCATTGGTAATCGCTTCAGTGAAAACTTTCAGGTTGAAATCTTTTGGGAATTTAACAATGTTTTATACCTCCCTACACTCCTTCCTTTATTTTCTTCTAGTGGTTTGTTTTCTCCAGCTTTAGATCTTCATTCTCTACAAAGGACATCAGAATGGAGCTTGTGCTCTTGATTTTAAATTTAAACCGTAAAATTTTATATCTTAAAAACATCTAATAGTTTTCCTTTTGCGGAATATTAGTTTTCTTTAAGTTTTTTTTTACTTTTCTTATGCTTTTGTGATTTATTATTTTTTGTTAAAGTTTTATATTAATTTCTTTTGTAATTACGAAAGTGTAAATGAGTTCCGTTTTAAAGTGTCTTAAAATTATTTTTATATTTACAAAAAAATTATAAAAGTAAATTGAAATTGAACAAATTAAATTATAAACTTATTAAACTTTTTTTTAACGTTTTCATAAATAATCTAACTTTATTTATTACATTTTACAGACTTTTAATGTCCAAAGAAAACAATAGCTGCAGAAAAATAAAGATTGTTTTCCAACAAAACTACAACTAAACTATTTTCTTAAAAAAAAAAACGAATAAAAATTTGTCCAATTAAACAAAATAGACAAAAAATGTTATTTTGCATTACAATATTAAAATGGATAACAAAAATAACATAATATTTTTTTAAATCTAGTCACATTTTAAACAAAAAACGAGATTATGTGTAAATTATTTATCCCTTTAACAAATTTATTTTTTAATTTTGAATTTAACTATAAAAATTATATATATTTTTTATTTTTTTTAATCAAAAAACGGAGCTTTAAATATTTATATTAAAAATATAATTTAATAAATTATTTTGATTTTTTATATATTTTTTTAAATTACACATTATTTAACAAAAAAAAAAACTCGCGCCAAGGAATTGTTAAAAAAAATTATAACATTAAATATATATTTATAAGAAATTTAATAAAAAACGGAAAAATTTAATAAAAACCTGTTAGTTATATTTGTATGTAAATTAAACACAAAATCATTAAAACAATTAAAGACAATATTGCCTTTTAAGCAGCAACTAAAAAAAACAAAACGTAAATAGCAAACAATACATAAAGCGTAAAACTACAATAATTGCAATATTTATGTAAATTATTTAACTTATAGAAAATGTCACCAAAAAAACAAAGAACAAAATTCCTAACAAGTTTGATTTTAATCTTTTATTTTTTTAAATAAAACCGTAAAATTTGTACCTTAAAACAAACGAAATACAGCAATTTAAACATACACTTCCAGGTTTTAAAAGGTAATATTGACTTCTTCTTGTTTAATTATAAAAAAAATTATATATAAAAAAGTAAAACGAAAGCAAAACATACATTTATAAAATAATAATAATAATAATAATAAAAATAAAAACAATTGTAGATGTTTATATGTTATATGTGTTAAAATAATAATAATAAAATAATATTTAAATAAAAATTAAAAACATAAGAGTTTCAAACTAAAAAAAAAAGTAATTTAATAATTAATTAATTTACAATGTTCTTAAATTGTTATCAAAAACACATATTAAAAAAAAAAACAACAAATAAATAATGATAAATCAAGAACATATAAATTATAACAATAAAAATTTAAATTATAAATAAACATTAAAAAATTATATACATACATACATTTTATATGTTTTTAGTAATTAATTAATTGACAATGTTCTTAAATTGTTATCAAAAACACATATTAAACAAACAACAAGAACATTTAAATTATAACAATAAAAAACATTATAAAATTATTATAAAAAAATATACATAAAATTAAAGTATTTTAAGAGAAAAGAAACTCCTTAATCCCTTGTTTTTAGTTTAAAAAAAAAAAAAATATTATTTTTTAAATTAATTTGAAAGGAATCTTTAACAGCTTTTAACTTCTATATATTTTTATGAATGAATAGCAACAATTACTTCTGGAACTCATGCATTATAATAATTTTTTGAAGGGAACCTTTAATGGGGGTAGGACCAATTATGGCCCTATGTCCACCATAATTCAGAATTTAATTTCTGATGTCAAAAAACTGACATGCGAAATTTTGTGGCATTTGCTTCATAAACAACGAATTTGTGAATTTTTGAAGCTTTTTACAAAATATTCCGGGGGAACATCTGTTCCCACCGATTTTGTCCTATTTCAATACTAAACATTTCTGATCAATAAAGTATACTTTGGACTTTGTGTTAAAACTTTATTGGCCTGTGTAATTAATCAACACCTTTCTTGGTTTCAATCTTAACAATTTCAAGCCAAAAATGGCCGAAAAAAGAACTAGTTCCAGTATTGTTATAAAGATGTTGTATATGTTTTCTAAAGTTTCAATAGAGCTGGTCTGGAGTTTGATAAATTCGAACAAAAAACATTGATTACATAACTGATTCCAGAACCGTTTCCTAAAACCATTGTCGACTCCAAAACCAGTTGACAATTTTGAACAGTTGTTGTCGACCCCCAAAAATGTTGAAGGTTAAATTTAACAGCCTATTTACTGCCAGCAATTTGTGCAACTTCAATCACGCCCCTACTTGCGAAGTAGTAACAAGGTCCTCAAAACGCTAGCCTAGGGGTATGTATAAAGAAACCTAGTTATTTACATATAAAACGATAGGTCAGGCAGTGGTTAATTATGCTGCTACTGTGTGGCTACCTTAGCTCAATGCTACCCAGTGGTGAAACATTCAAAGCTACTAAAATGCTACCATTAAGGCTGTAATGGTCTACCTACAAAATTATCTCAGAACATCAGCTAGTACATGAGAGAACGAAAGTCCTTCTAGCCAAGGAAAACAACTACGTGTTAATTAAACAGTTCCTCCTAGGATGTCAACGGGGAAGTCATTCCAATTTTAACATTAAACAGTTTGATGCCCCTTCCTTCGTATAGACAAGGAGAACATAAGAAGTTATGTGCAGAATCCAATAGATCAGTCCTATTATACGGCAACTTTTAACGACATTCATAGAGACTCCTTCAATTCGATGGTCGTAGGATATAGCATAAATGTCGTATTTGACACGGAAGAAAACCAGCCGCGGAAAACAAGTGCATTTCTGACACAACTAAGTTCGGGATGGAACAACAGCAATGTCCGGCCTCAGGTGTCTTCGGTATACAAATCATTAATAACACAGTCCAAGGAATTTTCAACTCAGACACCAAAGTATACTTTTCTAAAGAATTAGGCAGTGCTGAATCCGAATCTGGGCTCAACATGTATCCATCGCATCAGGTTCTTGAGATCTCGTGCCCTAAAAGTTTTTTTTTGACATATTTGAAACTTTGTGATGTGATGGATTCAGAGTTGCGCAATCCTTTAGGAAATTTAATCTAGTCTATAGGTTTCGGCTTTTATAAAATTTCGCTGGATTGTGTAATTCTATCAGAAAAGCTTTTTAGAAGTTTGCTATTGAAATTCAGCAAAACCTGTTCATAAATTACGAAGATATAAGCTAAACTCTGCAAAAAGTCTCAGAATTTTGAAAAGCGAAATAAATACGCGACATTTGAGGTGTGTAACGATGATGTGACCGAAATGGAAACTGCTAGATAAAACTTTAATGGTCTAGAATATCGCGGGATCGTAATATATACTAATTTTATAAAAAAGTCGCTTAAATTTAGTTCTAAATTTGTTCTTTTTAAATATTTGTCGACACTAAGTATGAAAAGTGTTCATTTATCATATGAATATTTCATGTTAATGATTCCTTTCGAATTTCATTTCAAAGTTATGAAAAGTTTTAATTTATCATATGAATATTTCATGTTAATGATTCCTTTCGAATTTCATTTCAAAGTTAAACAATTATTATTATTTTTGTCCAGTATTTCAAAATCCCTATAGATGACTCAATACACAAACAAATCATAAATGTATTAATGTATCGTAATTAAGAACGTATAAAAAAACAAAACCCAGAAAATATAAAAATATTTATAAATAAAAAAAGGAAAGAAAACCCGTATGTTTACAATGACTATGCGCTAAACTTTCATTCTCTTAACAAGAAATCGAAATAAATCTTAAGTTTTTGTTATTTTTTTTTTTTTTTCAATACTATAACACAAATAAAATTTAAGAAAAACAAGAATTAAAACACAAATTTAAAAAAACATAATATTTTTTATACAACATGACTTTAAAATTTAAGCTTAAATAAGAAAAAAAAAAAACAAGAAGAATTTCACAAAAATTTTAAACAAATTTCAATTAAAAGCAAATAAAACACAAAAACAAATATAAATCAACGAATACTGCTTTAAGTTCACTTTTTTAAATTATACTTATAATTATTTTAAATATAATTTCACTTTTTAAATTGGTTTTTAAACTAAAAACAAAAAACAAAAGTACACAATCTTTTTGGTACAAACTCATCAATACGAAACAAAGAAATATTTAAAAAATACAATAAAAAAATTATTAAATAATTCACTGTAACAACCACCCAGAAATTTAGTAACAAAAGTAATAAAACTCTCTCAAATATCATATACCTACTTATAATAAATAGTTAATACAACTTACAACTACTTACTACTTAATTACAACAAGAAAGAAAACTAAAAAAAATATTTGTCTTAAATATTATTCAATAATAATGAAAATAAATGCCATATTAAAATGTAAAACAAACAAAAAATAAAATATAAACAATATATAAGAAGAAAAACAACAAAATAAACTAAATTTAATTAAAGTATAAAGAAAAACACGCACACTTTGTAATAAAATATAAAGAGAAAAAAATATATATTATATACAGTATATAGAGTATATATTTTTGTAAATTATTTTATTTAGAAAAAAAAGAACAACTTTTTATGTTTTTTTTTTATATATATAGAATGTAATAAGAAAGTTTTACAGATTCTTGCAGATTCCTTAAAATTCAAGTTTAATAGCAAATTCTTGTGTTATTCAATACTTAATACTGCCCCGCTTATTACTTGATAAATTTCAATATATTCCTGGCTCCATTACTAAGTAATGAGTAGTGCTTAAATTTCATATTACTTGGTCATAATTGTTTCAATTATTTGTTTACTATCCGATAGAAGTTTTTATTATGGTTATTCAGTGCTGGTTAGTTATCGAATTATCAGTTTATAAAATTAAAAATAATCTCTGTCTATCGTAAACATCTGTTTGATTTTACAATCAGATGTTTCATGCCGAAGTAAAATATATTTTTCATAAAAAGCTTGTATTCTAAAACAAAATTGAAAAATTCAGAAAGATTTTTAAATAATTTTTCATAATTGGAAAATGCTAGAAATTGGTTATAAAAAGTTAAATCAACAGCTTATGCCTATAGACCAAATTATACTTTTCTAAAGGATTAAGCTGCGCAGAATCCCTATCTACCCTAAAAATGTATCCATCAAATTAAGTTTTTGAGATATGGTGTGCTTAAAATCAAACAAAAAACTCCCATTTAGGGCAATTTTTGAGACGTTATTACTGCGCGAAAATATCTTTATTTGTAAAATTTCTTTTGTCATATGAAAGTACAAGGTGTCGCCATTAAAATAAAGGTTTAACTTCTTTTATATATATTTTCTTCTTGGAGATATTTTAACAACCATAAATTAACAAAAACTGAATTTTTAACTTCAGTTCGCCAATTTCTCATATTGCTCTGAGATATCATGTGTTGAAATTTCATTTTTGGGAATTTATAGTTGGGTTTGGATATCTCGAAGGAAAAGGACAATATAATAGAGGTTAAACCATTATTTTAAAGTCGACAGCTTAGACTTTCGGACGACAAAACAAACTTTATAAAGTTACAACGTCTCAAATATGGCTAAAATATGTATGACACGAAATCTGGAAAACATGATCCATTTTCGATTTCGGAGCTGCTTAACTTTCTACTTTGGGATTTCGATTCTTTACAAATTTCGTTGGTCTCTGTTATACATATTTCAAAATACGAATTTTCGAGTTGAAAATTTTTCGAACATAAATTTAATAATGAGCTTTAAAAATTTGATATTTTTGTTTTATGAACCAGAAATTATTTTAAAGCATTCAAAATTTTTTTCGAACTTAATTTCGAATATAATATTGTACTGTCATCAGCTATACTCATGAGTGTCTCAATACAAAAACTTATGATGCGTCATAAGTCTTCCACAGAACCAGTACCGATAATGACAATTTCGAACAAAAATCTCAACGCCAAACTAGAACTAATAAAGACTTTAATCATACTTTCTAGAACTTGTTGTGAAACTCATAAAATTTTTCCTGGTATACAATAGGGTTCTATAGTTGAAACAAAAAGTCGACTTTTCGACTTTTTGCATTTAGTTAAAAGTCGACTTTTAGACTTTTTGCATTTAGTTAAAAGTCGACTTTTAGTATTTTATGAAAAGTCGATTTTTCGACTTTTTTCATTTATTTAAAAGTCGACTTTTAGACCTTTCGACTTTTAGTATTTTATAAATGGTCGACTTTTCGACCTTTTTCGACTTTTTCCGACTTTTTGAATATTTTCGACTTCTTTCGACTATTTATTGACTTTTTTCGAGTTTTTCCGACTATTTTAGAGTTTTTGACTTCTTTTACACTTTTTTAAAATTTTCGACTTTTTTCGACTTTTTTTCGACTTTTTTAGACTTTTTTCGACTTTTATTTACAAAGTAGACTTTTCGACTGTTTTTATAGACGATAGTCGAGTTATCGACTTTTTTGGAACAAAATAGTCGACTTCGACTTTTCGACTTTTTTCGACAAAAAGTCGATTGTTCGATTATTCGAAAGTCGATTTATAGAACCCTAGTATACAATTGCCCAATTCACAATCTATGTTGTATGGTTGTATCGTAGTATGTCGTAATGTTTTTATTATTGTTTTGTTTCATACAACGATACGACATCGATTGTGAATGGGACAAATATTTTTTTATTATTTATAAAAAAATTCTATATATTTAAAATCTGCTACTAACTTTCGAGTCTGTAAATATAATTCTAAACCACATTTTCTCAATATCTGGCTATGGTTTTATAACGTGTTAATACAATTTAACAAAACTTTTAGTATTACACTGAAAAAAGAAATAACCAAATAGGGAGAAAATGTCTACTGGAGGACAACTAAAAGTTTTTATTTTCTTAACTAATTATTTATCCGATCAAATAATTAAAAATAAAATCTTATACTAATTATTGTATTTAAAGGAGTACATATAATTAACAAAAAAAAGTACATACATATTTAAAAAGAAATTAGAATAAAATATCAAAAAAAACATTAAATAAAAACTGTATTGTATAAATGTTAACATTAAAACAATATTAATTGGGAAAACATAATTTTAATGAACAACTAATAAAAACATAAAATAGTTAATAAAAAAAAAACAAGTTTAAAATCAATAAATAAAAAAAATAAATGTCTATAATTAAATGGAATACAATTTTGTAAAGTGGTGTTTTATTTAAAAATTATATTTTTTCTTAACTTTAGCAACCAACGAATCATTTGGGTTAATGGAATGAACACCTTGAAGACAAGCTCTAAATAAATCTATCAAAAATGTATAATTTGCAAAATCTACTAAATGTTTTGCACACTTTATTAACCTTGCAAACATTGAAGGGCAACTTAATGCGTTATAATGACAAAGTCAACAAATCTACTCAACTCCTGTAAATATAGCAAAACAAGCTGCTATAGCACTTAAACAAACCAAATCAAATTTGAAGGATTTACAAAAGTTACTGTGCAAACTGTCGAAACCCTTGCAAACATAACAAGTCTGGTAAAACAAACATTTAAATTGGGGTGAGTATTTCATACTATTGCAAATATACTAGAAAGAGTAAATTACTTGTAAATAAAGTAAAACTAGCAGTTGCCAAACTTCTACAGATACATACTAATCATGCGAAAATCGATCATACAATTCGAAACCCTTGCAAACATAACAAGTCTTGTAAAGCAAATAGTTTTATAAATAGATCAGGAATCTATCAAATATTCATATAATATTTACGTAATTTCACTATGTATAAGTACTACAAAACATGTCTGATAATTAACCAATTGTAGTAAATTTGCTTCTCTTGTGAAAATACTAGAAAGTGTGATTTAAGATATGGATTTTTTTCTCTGAACGGATCATAACAGAAAAGGCTTTTCGAAGAGACCGGCGCGATCAAATATAGATTTCGAACGGATGCTACAATTTTCCTCCGGCTCTTGTTAATAGAATCCGAATGCCTAAAGTCCTGCAAATTAGACTTTGGTTTAGAATAACTTAAAAGCGATAAGCACGAAAGAGGCTACTTAGAAGACACAAGTTGTCACTACAGCTCTACATACAATTCAATATTCTAGAAAAGTCTCTCGGAACACGGCAACATGATACATTCATTTAACTTAATTAATAACAAAGATCATTGTAGGCAACCAAAATATCTAGGTTTTGGGCTTGAGCTTTCTTTTATCCGAAGAAGGCCTGATCCAGAATAAACAAATATCAAACGAAAAGCAGCAGTTTTCTGACAAGTGACTGTCATAGACCAAAGTCTAACAAGAAAAGCTTGTGGGTGGTGTTATTTAAACTCTGACACCAAAAAAATGGTGATACAGTTGGAGTGTTATTATACTTTAATTCAACGGTTCTCAAAAGGGGGTCCGCGGACCCCTAGTGGTCCGTAGCAAAATCCTAGGGGGTCCGCGAAGACGAACGAAAAAATCATGAATAAAAAATATTCTCTATATGTTAGAAAATATTAAAAATATCTCCAAATTTTTCATAAATACTAAAATACACAATTTTTATTCAATAATCCCAGATTTGTTGGGATTTTTCGGTCGTTTATCAGGATGAAGCTAGGCCCTACAAATTAATTGTTTCACTTTTATAAAGTAAAGTATTACGTGATTTGTAATTTTTATAAATGTATATGTATCGAAATAAATGTGTTTATATCAGACGGATAATGATTTGCCTTAGAATTAAATACTGATACTGGTACCCCGGAATATGAAGTTAGGTCACATTTCATAATATTTTTTTAAATTGTAAGCAAAAGTGTTAATCTAGTTAATTTTAAATATAAATATTCCAATTCCGACGTGATACACAGATTTTAACTTCATTTTGTTGTCCAATATTATTAAATCAAAATCAGAAAATTCATAGCGTTTTGCGAAAAAAGTCAAAACCATGCAGTAAAATAATTCGTAGGTATTTTAAAATTCAAATTTAAGATCCAAATTCACAGTACATTCGCAAAGAGTTCAGGTCATATTTTATGTGGGTAACGCATTAAGCAACAACATCGAAGAAGTCTAACTTTCACATATTTTCCCGAAAACTTAGCTTACTATCGACAATACTTGATAAAGAAACCTTTTCGCTACCTTGGCGAGAAATGAACATGAAAGCTCTCACGATCATAAAATTAAACATTATGTTAGAAATCATTCTATATTTAAAACCATGCAATTGAAAACATCTCCGAAATACTAAATATTCTCAATGTACGGGAATATTTTATAGGGTTTATGGACCAGGACTAAGACAATTTTCGGATGAACAATTATTTATAACAATAAGATATCAAAATATGTATGGGGGTCCGTGAAATTAAATAAATTCCTCAAGGGGTCCGCGAAGTAAAAAACGGTGGGAACCGCTGCTTTAATTCACAAAAAAAATTGAAAAATTTCACATATATATTTTTTTCAGTGTAAACAAGCATATGACTTATTTAAAAAAAATCCCGTTTCCAACTGTTTGGGATATGTTTAATACCTCTAACAGCTGATATTTGCGCACCGGTTTATTATATTAACAGAACGGATATTATGTGTTTGTGCTGATATTTGTAACACGACAAAATGCCAATTGATTCGATATTAAATTTATACATATTGTTTTCCTATGAATTAACTATGAATTTCTATATTTGAAGGGCTTATTGCAGTAACTCGTTATGCCACATAATTATAAACATTGAGAAAAACGATTTTAAGATTTTTAAAAATTTTATGAAATTTGTACAAATATATTCGGATTAGCAATTTTGTGAAAATTCCAAAGAAGCTTAAAGCTTTTCTATTATATTTAATTTAAAGATTCGGAAACTTTAACGATTTCAAAAATCAAAAACATTTATTCTCGTATTCAGTATTTCGAAGGGAAATTTTCTTTCAAACACTTTTATAAAAATTACCTATTTAAAAATTGCGTAATTTTCATACAAATTTTGAAAATAAATTTCCTTCCGAGATATTTAATATGGGGTTTAGTTAACAGACTGTGCAAGAAAGTCGTTATTAACTAATTTTTTTTTTTTTTTTTGCTTTTGCCTTTTTACTCAATTTTTTGTTTTATTTATTATTTGTTGTTTTGTGTTTAAGCGCATATATTATTCACACAATTTTTTGTTGTTAAACAAAATGTGCGAACAAAGAGCATTTCGCCGAAGAAAATTTTCCTTGTTTTATAAAAACAACAACAACCAGACATTCAGTCACAAAACGACAATTTAACTAAACGGTTTAAAAAATAATTAATAATAATAATAAATAAATTATTTTTAATATTTTTTGTTTGTAAAGCATTCCATATTATAAGTAAGTAGAATTTAATAAAGGTTAATAATCGTATGAAAGTCAAACTTATATCTTTGTAACTTTTGTTTAAAAAATGGTGTAAATTTAGTATTTGGTTAGATTTGTATTTCTTTGAAGAATATTCCATTGCTATATTCTGAAATACGCAAAAAAACCTTATTATTCATTATTAAAAGCATTATGTTCCAAAGCGCACGTATAAGATAATGGCAACAGCTGATAATAAATAGGTATCAACAGATAAAAACAAACGATCGTGTGTATAAATAAAAACATTAGTATTCCTACAGTGGATCAAAAATAAAATGGAAGAACATTTTTTTATTGTAATTAGTACATACAAATTTGAACAAAATGATGTCCGAGTTTAACGGGATTTTCCTTTACGAAAAAAAATGTGTTTGGTACATTTATAACAGTTTTTAACGGTATATTATCGAATATAAGACCGTTGTAATTTCTTAGAAATCGTGTACACCTAACATTTCTTATCGCTAATGGATAGAATTAATCTAAATTTCTATAACAAATGTTGATTTATTTTTATAGCCTACACCACTATAGGGGAAGAGTATTATGGGTTTGTGCTTATGTATGTATGTACATATCGTCACCTAAAATGCAAACGGGCCTATCTAAAATTTTTAAAATTTTACAGGAGAAGCAAAAAACTATTGAAATTGAAAAGTTTGTTGCTATCAACGCGATTTATTTGTAGTAAATAAACAAATTGTTTAATAATGAAACATATCAGTTGTTATGATAGTTGACAATGGCTTATATATAAAAATGGATAAATTGTACCTTTTACCTTTAATATTTAAATGTTTTTGTAGATAGGGCCTTTTGTTTTTTGTCAATGAAATCGCTAATTTTGGTCGGAGGAGTCCAATCTTTTGTGTGGACATTTGTGTTGATGCAATACATTATAATCAACAATAAAATTTTGAATGTATGTATGTTACGTATATAAATATTGGTTCTACAATGAGCATAATAAATAATACTCATCTTAAAGTCATTTTCTGAACCGATTTAGCGATATCTCATAATGCTGCTCATAATTATGATAAATGCTTAAGTATATCTACGGCATAACTTAGTTTCATATAAGGTTAAAAAATTTTTGTAATTATCGAACCTCATTGGACCCTATCCCCCATACAAAGTTCCTCTCAGAAATTGGCTTCAACATCCTTTATTGTTATAAACATTAATATCTGGATGAAGTTCAGAATAAATAACTTTTATACAAACATAAATACCTCCTTCTAATTTGCTGAGGATAGGGCCATATTTGACTATAGCCCCTATTTAAAGTCAAATGTTCATTTATAGGCTCAGTTCATTTTCTCTGCTCTATCTTGTTGTATTAACAGATATGCGGACGTGTCAAAAGTAGACTTAGAATTTACATATGCAATACTACATGTTGTCTAAAATCTATATTCAGATTTACTTCCGATCTTAGCCAACTTTTGAAAGTGTAAAGCCAACTTAACAGATTTCAAAAACGTATATATAATGTACACCGCGATGTCATTTGGCGAATGTTTTCCCCTTAATAAAATGTTAAGATTGTGCTATTTAAAGAAACGCTCAAAAATAATAAATCCTATTTTACTTAAATTACCTGTGTACTACACATACAGATGTTCTGTCTCCGTAACCATTAACATACGTTAGGAAAAATTACAGATTTTGGAAAAAACTACCTGAAATTATAAGCATAAAAGGAAATGTGATAAGCCGCACTAATTCGAATAGTGATGTTATGTGAAAATTCTATAACTTTAAACCAAAATTTAAACCAAATTTAAATGTTATGTTTATGATAAATATTTCCAGAATTCTATTTAAGTGAATAATTTAAAGCTTTTTTAAAGTAGCTAAATTTAATCATTTAATTCTCTTACAGCTTGATACAGATCCAACTGTATCAAACACTAGTTAACCAATTCCATTATGCTGGGAAAAACAATTACGATTTTTCTTTTGCTCGTTGGAGTATATCTTGAATTTGCTACTTGTTATTCAGCTTATCAAGATGCACTCATAATAAGAGAATATAAAAGACAACTACGACGCAATGCAACATTATCGGAACCCGCTTTAAATCATGTCAAAATTGCTCGACAATTGGTGCATCAAGCGAACTGGGCTTCTGTTGGAACAATATCAACAAATAGTGCTGTTAAAGATTATCCAATGGTTAATATAATATCTATAAACGATAATGATGCTTCCGGGCAATCGACTGGACGCATACGGTTTCTTTTGACTGATCTAGATTTTACTGGTCCCGATTGGCAGCATAACAATAAGGCTACATTCTTGTTTACTGATGAGCAATTATTGCATTGTAGCAAGAGGGAGTGGTATGATAATAGAGCACCTATTGATCCCATGGAACCTACATGTGCTCGCGCTATTATAAGTGGACAAGTTATTGAGGTAATTGAACGTTCAATTATAATTTTATTAACTTTTATATTATTTATTACTTTTATACTTTTGTAGATGGATAAAAAAGGCAATGATTATGATGGTGCTTTAATAGCTTTTGTTGAAAGACATCCTGCTGCTAAGAATTGGTTGAAGGGTAAGATTCATTTATAAATTTTAATTTTTTCATAATTTATTAATTTTAATATTTAAAATTATTCCAGCGCACTCATTTTACTTATGTGAACTGAATATTACAAATATTTTTGTTTTGGATTATTATGGTGGACCACATACTATTGATATTACCGAATATTATAATACGAAGCCATAATTTTTTGTACATTATTTAATTTATTTACAGTTTTTCTGTAAATAGTAATAAAAAAAAATTGCAAATTTTTGCAAGTATGCATTTAAATTAAAAAAATGCCAAAGATTTTTTATTATACACACATACATACATATATGGGGGATATATTTATTTGTATGTATTATAGCTTTGTAGAGAATATTCGGACGTTTAAGAGGTGAAAATTTTACCTATTTTTGGTACTTTTTTATAAAAAATTGTTTTTGGTTTACATAATAACGGGCTCCCAATACGATGTTGCAACTGGTACTTTTTTGACTTAGAACTTAGAAACATGTAATTAAGCACTTGAGAATCTATAAAAGTGGACTTTTTGGTACTTTTTCGTTCTTCAAAAGGTACTTTTTGAGTTTTCTATTAAATTGAACATAGAAACATGAAATTATGCACGTAGAGCCTGGAGTAAATGTGAATCTATAAAATGGCACTTTTTGGTACTTTTTCGTTCTTTGACTGGTACTTTTTGAGCTTGCTACAAAATTTGAACCTCGAAACATGAAATTAAGCACTTAGAGCCTGGAGTAAATGAGAATCTATAAAATGGGAACTTTATCGTACTTCGACTGGTACTTTTTGAGTTTTCCATAAAATTAAACCTAGAAACATAAAAATAAATATGTAGAACCCGGAGTAAATTATAATCTATAAAAAGGGACTTTTTAGTACTTTTTCGTTCTTCGACTGGTACTTTTTGAATTTTTTATAATATTGAACCTAGAAACATGAAATTAAGAATGTACAGCCCGGATTAAGTGATAACATATAAAAGGGGACTTTTTGGTACTTTTTCGTTCTTCGACTGGTACTTTTTGAATTTTTTATAATATTGAACCTAGAAACATGAAATTAGGAATGTACAGCCCGGATTATGTGATAACATATAAAAGGGGACTTTTTGGTACTTTTTCGTTCTTCAAAAGATATTTTTTTGAATTTTCTATAATATTGAACCTATAGACATAAAATTAAACCTGTAGGGCACGGGACTTTTTGGAACCCTTTCGTTCTTCAACTGGTTCTATTTGAATTTTCTATTATAATGAACCTAAAAACACAAAACTAGAATCAGAGACTTGAGTGAATGAAAATTTAAAATGGAGTATTTCTGGTAATTTTTCGTTCTTTAACTGGTACTTTTTGAATTTTCTAAAATATTGAATATATAAACATAATATTAAACACGCAGTATCGTAATTGAACGAAAATGTATCTCGCTTACATCCATTTTGCAAAAAGCTCTCGATATCAATCGAAATCTCTATAGGCCATAATTGACCCTGCCCCCTTCAATAATTGATTTTAACGTTTTCTATGTACTTATCAATACCATAATAAAACAATTTTTGTTGGAACGAAAATATGTAATGTAAATATGTATGTATATGAAATCTTCTTCAGAAAATGACTTAAACGCACATAAATGGCATTCAAATTTCGATGTCTACGAAAGAAATATTTTTAGGAACCGAAACCAACATTTATGAAAAATAAAATTATGAGGATCGGTCCGCCAATATAACCCTCTTACAGAAAATCAGTTTATAGCTAATACATCATTCCAAAAGTTATCATTATGATAGAATTATGGTAGAATTAAAAACAATACTTTAAATTATAGAGAACTTTGTCCATAATTGATCCAATTCCACATTTAAGCCCCTAATCCGAAAATCACGATGACGTTCTTATTAATCTAATGATCAAAGTCCATATATATATATATATGACCACTTCCAAAATTTGCTTTTTTACGACATATGATTTACCGAATATAACTCTTACTTCTTACTTAGGAATAGTCTGCCTTTAGAGTTGCGAGTTTTCATACACTCTAATAATGTTTTTAAAGTGAAACTTTTGGAATATTTTCCAATCTCTTTGTGATCCCTTTAAATGATGTTGTTCTGGAAGAACTTTAACATCCATGTAAACATTTTGGGTAATAAATTGGAGGACTACCAATGGGGGGAGCGGAACCTCCCATATGAATTAAATACAAAAATTCGTTTATCTGGGAAACTAATAGAACTAAATTCTTAAAATTTTGCACGAAGAACTTTAATATTCATCTGAACATTTTTGAGAAAAAAGGGAGGACTTTCATCTGGGGGGCTTGAATTAAATAGAAAAATTCGTATATCTGAGAAACTATTAGAGCTAGAATCTTCAAATTTTACTGAACAACATTTAGAGAATAACGGGCGGACTTTCAATGGGGGGCTTGAATGAATTTGATACAAATTCACAATACAATTATGAATTTAATACAAAATTTTGTATATCTGGGAAGCTATTAGATTATTAAAATTTTTCATAGATTAAATTAAAATCTTAATTAACGTTCGGAACAATTGGCGAAATTGCAATAATTTGCGTGAAATCTCCCATATGTAACAAATTGTATATCTGGAAAACCAATGTAGTTAGAATCATCAAAATCGTTAAGTGGGTCTCTTATTTATATTGCTTTTAGGGTAGCACAGCACACTGGGTATAGCTAGTAATTAAACAAATAAAAAATCTTTGTTTTTACGTTATTGATCATTTTCTTAATGCAAATTCTTTTAGAAACTGATTTTCTGCAATTTTTTTTATATGGAGGATAGGGTTAAATATCGGTAGATCCTAGTAAAACTTGGAGAAAGGATTTGTTTTTAATTTTTTCGAATTTTTTATTCATCCCTGCATAATTACTCACACAACTTTTGAGCTTGCTCTGTTTTGTTGTTACAAACAATATATTTGCTTCCAAATTCCCACTTTCTGATCTCTCGGATTCCGTTTTTATTTAAAATCGTAGAAAAATTAAAAACTAAACGTAGTTGAAAACTTAGCCGACTTACAGTCGATTTTAAGCCGCCGCCGACATATTTAGTGTTAGTTGCCGCCGCCGTTAATATTTGTCGGCGCAGGGCTCTGAATACAACCCTGTAGCAACTTAAATTTATTTTCCAACGTCTGCCGTGAAAATTGCATTTTCAACAATACTTTCTTATTAATTGCCAGAATAGTTATAAAAAATTAATATATCGCTTCAAATACAAAAAATTTTTGAAAAATATTGAAAAATTTATAGAAATAAATATGAAAAAACAAAATTCTTAGGATTTACGCGAATAAAAAAACAATTGTTAACGAAATACAACTTGTGCGTGCGTGTGTGTTTATTTTTCTTGAACTAAAAAAAGTCGCGGGTTTTATTTTCGTTTTAAAATAATGGAGGAACGTGAGACACTATTGCTGGAGGAGAGTTATTGCAGTAAAGTGGGCAATAATACGACTACTGATGCTATGGACAAGGATGATTCTGATGTGTTGCATAATAATCAACCGATTGAATATAAAACACCCAAGAAATCATCGATATTAATTGATGGCGAACGTTTGTTGGATAAAATAAATATTTTGACAACAAAACCAGAAAATACTTCAACATGTACCAAAGTAAGTATGGAGATGATAGTGCTTGCTAATATTTGGATAAATGATGAAATTCATGAGCATTTATGTAGTTTTTGATATTCCTTGATAAAAAGTCCTGTTATTTTTCATGTGATATTCATGTTAATGCAAGATTATGTTGTTGTTTTTGTTTACAATCCCATTTTGTTGTATACACATTCACACAAACACGCGTATTTAGTCGGCTAATGTTGTTGTTTTGTAAAAAGAAAAAACCGTTTTTCTAGAGTTGCCAATAAATGAAAATAGTATGAAAGGCGGTCGAATAAATTAAAAGCAAAATATAAAACAAAGTTAATGCGTGTTAATTTTCCAAGTTTGGGATTGAAAACAAAATTTTCAAATTTTCATTCTGTCTACATTATTGCAGAATTGTATGTGCGTATGTTTTTATTTCAGTAATGTGAGTAATGTGAGTATGTTTATAATAGTAATGGTTTGGTGAATTTATAAACAAAAGTATGAAACTAGATCCCTCAGATATTGAGGGAACGTTGAATAACATAATATTGAAACAATAAGTGACTAAGACTTACCGGTGAAAATATTAACTCAAGCCTAGCGGATCACTGTGTTAGAAGATATGTTAGAGGGATACCACCGGGAGTGGTACTACCTCTGCCGTGAGAGTTTAACGGCATGCTGTATGCAAAAGCAACCAAAGGACTTATTGGAGTTATTCTTCTATCTTATTATGGTTGGGAAACATAATGGACGCTAACGGTCTGCGAGTGGAGTTGCGCCTTAAAGTGTATAACTCTTCCTTACCTAACCCAGATCCCTAAACCAACTTATAATTAACAAATCATCCATGTTTATAATTTAATCAAAGTATAGTTCGCAAAGGATCTTAAGGAACGCCTTCAAAATCACTTTTCTATATACATTTGACTATAGGTCCCTTATTTTTCCCCAAATTATGAAAAAGTTAATCATCATAACCCATACAGGACTCTCTTATAAATTTAATAGTGAGAGGAGAACATTAACTCTGTTTTACAATTAAGATCTCAACATAAACAGAATTACTTATTTTTTCATTAGTTCGATATAAAATACGAAAATTGATAGGAAACTCTACAAATGTCCTTCAATGTTGATTTACATGATCTATTCTATGTTCCATTGCAACTACTTGTTAAGAAAGACTTTTCGGATAACGTCTTTAGCAGAACTGCTTGGTTTTAGAGGCGGACAAACAATTTGTTTCATTTTCCTGTTTGGTCGATTTTATTAGTTTTTAAATACCAAAAGATTTTGATTGACATATGAATCTATTCCTGAAGTGATTATCTTCTAGACCTTAGCACACCTTGAACAGACAAAGGGACGGACGAACTTTCAACATTTTAGAATAGAAGAATTCAGAAATTCGTTTGATGCTACAAGTAATCCAAGTAAGTATATCCTCTGCAGATCAGATCCACGATATAAAATAGAACTATAGGCGATACCTATCAACAATCAAAGTATTAGTACTTGGAATAGTTTTCTGTCAGTTACAAACAAATTGTAATATTTACCCAATTTTTTATTATTTCTTTACAGCTTCCAACTATAAAAGATTTTGTAATTATTAAACCCATTAGTCGTGG